TGGTACTTCAGTTGGTAATAGTCAACTATGTATAGTATCATGTTTGTACATGGTACTTCAGTTGGTAATAGTCAACTATGTATAGTATCATGTTTGTACATGGTACTTCAGTTGGTAATAGTCAACTATGTATAGTATCATGTTTGTATGTGGTACTTCAGTTGGTAATAGACATTTATGTATGGCTTCATGTTTCTATAACTATAGAGTTTTCAAGATGAACTGAAGAACAGATCAAACAACAGAGACTCTGTTTGTAAAACAGCCAATGAGTTACTTCAGACAGCTTCTCCTGATGATGCTGATCACATCCGAAGTCAGATGAGTGAACTTGATGCTAAGTGGGAAGAGATTGTGGAGTTGACCAACAAGAAACAGCATCGTTTGGATGATGCTCTAAGACAGGTAAGCTGCATCAAAAAGTATTAACCAGTTTTAAATGGACTGTTGTGGTACTTCAGTTGGTAATATTGTTGTTAGGTGGTGTTACAGAGTTACTAGCCTTTACAAACAGTATATAACAGTTATATAATAAGTGTTACAGAGTTAAATGTCTTTACAAAAACTTTATTTTGATTAATTAGAATAATTAATTAGAGAAACACAACAATACAGACTTCCAGTAATATTCTGTCCAGAGGTTAGGAAATCTTTCAATACTTGGCTATCTAAACCCAAACAACAAAAGGATATAGTTTTAAACTATACAAAAATCAGTGGCTGATTTACTGGCTTCAGTCAATTGTTCTTCCAAGAAGAAGTAAATATAACCAGTAAAGACAACAGTCTTCTTGAGTTAGTGTTAAACCAAATCATCAGTGAATAAAACAAGAGCTAAGCTCACATGAAATTAAGAACAAACACATGTGAAATAAACAGAAACATTTGGCCATATGATCAGTAGTGTTGTGATTGGAAGAAAACCAAGTGTTATGAATAATATCCTGCAAGCCTCTGTCTAAAAAAAGTTTTCTTGGAGTATGAAGTTGATTGTTGTAGTGGTTTCAATTTTAACATGATATATTAGATTCAATTGCATTTACATTGAAGATTGAAGTGTTAAAATTAAAGTTGTCAATAAAACAGATTTATCAATGTGACATGTTTACTTCTCTTGTTTTGATGTGCCTAATTTAAGTGCATGTACATATACTTACGACAGTGTGGATATTTTATGTGTGGGTCCAGCAGAACTATTACGACTTGAACGACGGTCATCGTGTTTTCCTCCTTTTTCTTTCTGAGCTGATTGAGTAGGTTGATGTTTTGTCTTGAAAGCTTTAGTAACCCGATCAATATCTGGTTGACGTTGGGTCATTTCATCAATAAATACCTTACAGGGATCAAAGATTAAAAGTTATTTAAAGGTTAGAGGACATCAAAATGATGAATTTACACAATTTAATCAAAACAGCTTTAAACATTAGGTTTTTTTTACATTCTTTGCTTTTGCATTTTATTTGGAATGCTACAGTAATCGTAATCTTTATGTCCACAGATAACAAGTAAATTTGAAGAAAGTTATTTTAGTCTTATTCAAGTTCAACAAAAATCTAGAACTGGAAACTTAAAATGGACAGTTATAAATGGACTCGAGCCACACCTCATGTTCTTTGATCAGTTGTTCGAGAGGAGGAATCTCATCCGGAAGTGGTTCTGCTTCTGCTGCAGTTAGACTAGACTCTGCTCCAATCAACCATGCCATAAGTTCTTCTAGGAGATCAATGATGTCCTTTAATGACCGTAAGTGATCCTGAAGCTTCTGCTCTCTCTGCTTAGCCCACAGTGACACCTAGTGGATACAAGCCATACACAAATTACGAGATTATCCTAGTCAACCAGAAAAGAGCCAAGAAAGCTTATGTTTTCTGTCACAAAAGTAACTTACAATGTTAAGGATGTCATTACAAAATTTTAATAGGTTAAAACAACTGAATATACTGTAATGCAACTGCCATTATAATTTTTCATTATAAGGCTGCAAGGTAAAATTGACTTATTTGTATAGACTGTTCTGAAGCTTACCTCTTCCTTTGAAATTATGGAAAAACATCTAACGTAAAACTGGTCAAGGACATTGAACTGAGAGAGATAATATTTTTATATCTTGTAATTCGACTTCTAACATTCTAACAGTATTTGGAGAGCAGCTTTTATGCTAGCCTACCTCTTCCCAGCGAGACTGGATAATAGTGATCCAGTGACGGATGACAGAAATTCCATCCGGGTGACACTTTTGGAGAATCTCTTGAGCAAGCCTTATGGTATCATCCTTGTTCACCTCCTGTTCAATCATTTCACTCATAAATCTTCTGTGTTCTTCTAACTGTTGCCGTGTGGTTTCCTCATCATCTGGAAGAGGCCCCGCAAATCTTAGTTTCATCTCGGCATCAGACAGCCACTCGAGCAGCATGTGAACAGCCTTGTGTAGCTCTTCAGCCTGGGAAAGAGAGAAAACCAAGACTGTGGAAACACAATAAACATATCAATAGCTACAGGTGAGCATCCGTTAGCAAACTTCCTCTACTAGTCAAATATGTTACCTTAATATAGATTAGGCTTAACCATCCTTCTGAAGAAGTAACTAAGTTATTTCTATTTTAGTTTTGCATTCTTTATTGGAAAATGATAGCAAATATTTTGGAAGTATTCAGTAAACTTCAAAAACAGGAACTGATTACGATTTACCATATGGTTTACCAGTTCAATGTTGTGTTGTAGTCACACAATTGGAATATCTTTCATATAGTGTACACAACAGTCCATTTAAAACTGGTTAATACTTTAACCATATGGTTTACCAGTTCAATGTTGTGTTGTAGTCACACAATTGGAATATCTTTCATATAGTGTACACAACAGTCCATTTAAAACTGGTTAATACTTTAACCATATGGTTTACCAGTTCAATGTTGTGTTGTAGTCACACTGTTACATACTGTTTGTAAAGGCTTGTAACTCTGTAGTACCACTTAACAACAAACTGTTACATACTGTTTGTAAAGGCTTGTAACTCTGTAGTACCACTTAACAACAAACTGTTACATACTGTTTGTAAAGGC